TAATCGTCTTTTACCATTGTTTTCTTTCACCATAATCGTCTTTTACCATTGTTTTCTATCACCATAATCGTCTTTTACCATTGTCTTCTATCACCATAATCGTCTTTCACCATTGTCTTCTAGCACCATAATCGTCTTTCACCATTGTCTTCTATCACCATAATCGTCTTTTACCATTGTCTTCTATCAACATAATCGTCTTTTACCATTGTCTTCTATCACCATAATCGTCTTTTACCATTGTCTTCTATCACCATAATCGTCTTTCACCATTGTCTTCTATCACCATAATCGTCTTTCACCATTGTCTTATTTCACCATAATCGTCTTTTACCATTGTCTTCTATCACCATAATCGTCTTTTACTATTGTCTTCTATCACCATAATCGTCTTTTACCATTGTCTTCTATCACCATAATCGTCTTTTACTATTGTCTTCTAGCACCATAATAATCTTTCACCATTGTCTTCTATCACCATAATAATCTTTCACCATTGTCTTCTATCACCATAATAATCTTTCACCATTGTCTTCTATCACCATAATCGTCTTTTACCATTGTCTTCTAGCACCATAATAATCTTTCACCATTGTCTTCTACCACCATAATAATCTGTCACCATTGTCTTCTATCACCATAATCGTCTTTTACCATTGTCTTCTAGCACCATAATAATCTGTCACCATTGTCTTCTATCACTTCTGTTTTCTGGGGCATGTTGTGACGGATTTGATGTTTGGTAGCAGCAGACAAAAACCAAAAAAAAAAAAATCCATAATATCAGTACCTCAATGCCCGGCTCTCTAGCGGAATTGGCTAAACCGGATTTCGCGGAGACCGGGTGACGTTCTCCTTGTGGTCCGGGTTCAATCCCGGGGGTAGGCAGGAAAGCCACATTTTCTCCCAGATTTACGGTATTTACAATGGAATCAAGGCCGAAAGGTTGCGATATCCATAATACCGAGCCTAAGGGTTAACAACTCATGGCTTCTGGATCCTAAAACAAACAACAGTACCTCAACAAAGAGTTACCCACACTCCTACATGGGAACCTAACACGGTCAAAAACTGTTATCGTTATCATTATTGTGAAACTGGTGTTAGCTGTAGTTTGGATTGATGTAGACCTGCATGAATGACAGACTGCCTCTCGCCCAGCTCTAACCCTTGTAGTATCACACCCGTTCTCCCTGAGGAATCCGCCATTTCCCATGTGCTATTTTACTGTTCTCACACGCAAGACAGTGGCCACTGAGGCACTGGGTCCTAGAAGAATGTTGACTGATGCGGATGATGCCTTAGTCTACGGGCAGGGGGGAAATAGAATAGACATACCTAGGGAACTGCAGTTGGCAGTAAATAAGCGAAGTGAGGAAACATTCTCGGTCATCAAACCAGATAAGGCGACGGTGATGGGTGTTATTTACATAGTAGAATTGTTGAGGGGGTGCCAAAATCAAAATCAATGGCAGTAACAGTGAGAAATAATACACTAGGTTATCTACCAACAACTTTTGACAGGTAGCTGTCTTTGAAATACCATGCGGAAGATGTTGTTTTAAAGGTGATCGCATCAGCACATATGGAACAGAGTCTGTTGGGATTGCATCAGCACATATGGAACAAAGTATGCTGTGATAGCATCAGCACATATGAAACAAAGTCTGTTGTGATAGCATCAGCACATATGGAACAGAGACTGCTGGGATAGCATCAGCAAATATGGAACAGAGTCTGCTGTGATAGCATCAGCACACATGGAACAGAGTCTGCTGTGATAGCATTAACACATGAAACAGTCTGTTGTGATAGCATTAGCACATATGGAACAGTCTGTTGTGATAGCATCAGCACATATGGAACAATCTGTTGTGATAGCATCAGCACATATGGAACAGTCTGCTGTGATAGCATCAGCACATATGGAACAGAATCTGCTGTGATAGCATCTGCACATATGGAACAGTCTGCTGTGATAGCATCAGCACATATATGAAACAGAGTCTGCTGTGATAGCATCAGCACATATGGAACAGAGTCTGCTGTGATAGCATCAGCACATATGGAACAGAGTCTGCTGTGATAGCATCAGCACATATGGAACAGAGTCTGCTGTGATAGCATCAGCACATATATGGAACAGAGTCTGCTGTGATAGCATCAGCACATATATGGAACAGAGTCTGCTGTGATAGCATCAGCACATATATGGAACAGAGTCTGCTGTGATAGCATCAGCACATATATGGAACAGAGTCTGCTGTGATAGCATCAGCACATATATGGAACAGAGTCTGCTATGATAGCATCAGCACATATGGAACAGAGTCTGCTGTGATAGCATCAGCACATATATGGAACAGAGTCTGCTGTGATAGCATCAGCACATATATGGAACAGAGTCTGCTGTGATAGCATCAGCACATATGGAACAGAATCTGCTGTGATAGCATCTGCACATATGGAACAGTCTGCTGTGATAGCATCAGCACATATATGAAACAGAGTCTGCTGTGATAGCATCAGCACATATGGAACAGAGTCTGCTGTGATAGCATCAGCACATATGGAACAGTCTGCTGTGATAGCATCAGCACATATGGAACAGAGTCTGCTGTGATAGCATCAGCACATATGGAACAGTCTGCTGTGATAGCATCAGCACATATGGAACAGAGTCTGCTGTGATAGCATCAGCACACATGGAACAGAGTTTGCTCTATACCAGCACATGATTGTTTTGGTGGCTCAGTATAGATTTGGACTACTAGTTTTATTTGCGTTTGTGTATGTATTTGTGTGTGTGCCTGTGGTTGCATGTGTGTGTGTGTGTGTGGGTTTATGTCTGGGTGCGTCGGTGTGAGTGTTTGTAGGTGTCTTTCTGTGTGGCTACGTATGTGTGTGTATATATACCTGTGTGTGTATATAGCTGTGTGTGTATGTGTCTGGGTTGTATGCATGTGTGTTTTAAAGCGTGTGTCCGCGTGGGTGACTGTTTGTATGATTGTGTGTGTATGTATTTATGTTATGTATGTATGTGTGTATGTATGTATGTATGTATGTATGTATGTATGTATGTATGTATGTATGTATGTATGTATGTATGTATGTATGTATGTATGTATGTATGTATGTATGTATGTATGTATGTATGTATGTATGTATGTATGTATGTATGTATGTATGTATGTATGTATGTATGTATGTATGTATGTATGTATGTATGTATGTTTATATGTATGTATGTATGTATGTGTATGTGTGTATGTTTATGTGTGTGTGTGTGTGTATGTACGCCTGTACGTGTGTGTGTGTGTGTTTGTGCGCATGTTCGTATGTATGGATGTATGTGTGCATTGGGTGTCTATGTGTGTGTGTTTGTAAGTGAGTGAATGGGTTTGCGTGTCTATGTGGGTGTCTGTGTTCGCGCGCAAGCCCAATTAGTGGGCAGTAAGTGCTAGGAAGCAAGGTAGGTAGGTAAGTCGGTAGGTGGGTAAGTAGATTGGTATGGTAAGTAGATAGCTGGCCAAGTAGTATGTAGGTAGTAGATAGGTGGATCCACAGATGTGTAGTATATAGCTAGGTCGGTAGGTATAGAGACGCGTTGTCTTAGGTCCACAAAGCACAAGACAGACATACATTGAATCCCCCACAATTTAGTCCGTTGTCATCGTAGTTAGCTGGTGTTTTAAACCCACGCCTCCACATAGTGCCTCGAGCTGGAGGCTCCCATAGCCGACCATGACCACCCCCTATCCTGACCTGTGACATCAGCAGAGAAACAAACATTGCCAGTGGATATGGATTCTTGGACATCTTGGCTGTGGAGATAGGCAAACATGCACAGCTGTCACAAGTGTGGCCTCAACAGATAGGCAAAACATGCACAGCTGTCACAAGTGTGGCCTCAACAGATAGGCAAAACATGCACAGCTGTCACAAGTGTGGCCTCAACAGATAGGCAAACATGCACAGCTGTCACAAGTGTGGCCTCAACAGATAGGCAAACATGCACAGCTGTCACATGTGTGGCCTCAACAGAACAACAAACTGTGCAAAGTCTATAACTACGCTACCCTGAACCAAAGTAATCTCTCTCTCTCTCTCTCTCTCTCTCTCTCTCTCTCTCTCTCTCTCTCTCTCTCTCTCTCTCTCTCTCTCTCTCTCTCTATCTATCTATCTATCTATCTATCTATCTATCTTCTTCTTCTTCTTCACGTTCACCAGCTGTACACTCTGGCGGTAAGTTCTGGTTGCTCGTCCACTTCTGAACTGCAGTCCTGCTCCAGAGCCTGAGTTTTGCGTGTGCATCAGTTTTACAGATCTCATTCTCTTGAATACAGACTGTTGGTTCCTTGCCTCTCCGGCAGATGCACTCCGACTTCAAAGGAAGCTCCCCAATTAGTCGACTCTTACGACATGCTTTTTGGGAGCCAGTGGGTCTATTCTTGTTTTCCCTATAATGGAGCCCCGGAACCCACACGGGGATCTATCTATCTATCTATCTATCTATCTATCTATCTATCTATCTATCTATCTATCTATCTATCTATCTATCTATCTATCTATCTATCTATCTATCTATCTATCTATCTATCTATCTATCTATCTATCTATCTATCTATCTATCTATCTATCTATCTATCTATCTATCTATCTATCTATCTATCTATCTATCTATCTATCTATCTATCTATCTATCTATCTATCTATCTATCTATCTATCTATCTATCTATCTATCTATCTATCTATCCATCCATCTATCTATCCATCCATCCATCCATCTATCTATCTATCTATCTATCTATCTATCTATCTATCTATCTATCTATCTATCTATCTATCTATCTATCTATCTATCTATCTATCTATCTATCTATCTATCTATCTATCTATCTATCTATCTATCTATCTATCTATCTATCTATCTGTCTGTCTGTCTATCTGTCTATCTATCTATCTATATGTCTATCTATCTATCTATCTATCTATCTATCTATCTATCTATCTATCTATCTATCTATCTATCTATCTATCTATCTATCTATCTATCTATCTATCTATCTATCTATCTATCTATCTATCTATCTATCTATCTATCTATCTATCTATCTATCTATCTATCTATCTATCTATCTGTCTGTCTGTCTGTCTGTCTGTCTGTCTGTCTGTCTGTCTGTCTGTCTGTCTGTCTGTCTGTCTGTCTGTCTGTCTGTCTGTCTGTCTGTCTGTCTGTCTGTCTGTCTGTCTGTCTGTCTGTCTGTCTGTCTGTCTGTCTGTCTGTCTGTCTGTCTGTCTGTCTGTCTGTCTGTCTGTCTGTCTGTCTGTCTGTCCCCCAACACAGCATAGGGCCTTGAATCAACTCCCGCCAAGTAGTTTCATCCCTTGCTTTCCTACACATCTCCTCCTACATCTTTGTTTTGCTACTTCACTCTCTAGTTTCATCTAATTCTTTGGTCAACCTTTTGTCTTCGCCTGGTCGGGTTCCCGTTGAAAGCCCCTGAGAAGAATATCTAAAGCACCCAATCATGCACCCAAGAATTTACAACATTACAACAAGGAGCAAATCTGGTCATTGTTGAACGGACTCATTTGTTCGGTATTCCAGCATAAAAAACGACACTCAGTGGGTGATGTGGTCAACAAAATGCCGGTCGACTTTACTTCTCATGACTTTTCAGATGCGTACTTTAGGCTGGGTCGACATGGAAGTACCAGGTCATTTATGAAATCCCTTCCACGCTGAGTAATGGAATCCAAGACAGCTTAGCTAGCGAGTCCAACTTCAAAGGCTCGTATGTCGGTATTGTGAAGCTTTGCACACAACCATTATGCTACAGACGCAGGCGCGATCTTACTGCGCGCATTTTACTTTTGGAACTACTTTTTCTGAATGTATTTATCTCTGACAGAGGAGAGCGATAGGGAAAGACGACCATCTTGAGTTATGTATACAGCATCCCTACGCGGACACGACCGACGGCTACCCTGGGGTGTCTGGTGGCGCCGTCACGCCCAGCAGTACAAAGCAGAAAATGGACACAAGAAAAAAAAATATCTCCAAAACTTCTCTCTGTATCAACCCCCCCCCCCCCCTTCCCTTCCCCCAACCCACTCAGGAAATGCGACATATCTTTCTGTATACCCACATTCCCAGAGATTCATGTCTGTTTTGTCATTGTTTATTCCTTGTCCAGGTGTATGTGCCGTGCTGCAATGTTGATGTAGTTAACTAAACTGGTGTTGAGTTGGTTGAAACAAGAATTAACATCACAGCACTCAGGGCACTCCCATGCATTCTCCGAGCTCATCTTCAGCAGCCAACGCAGAGTTCCATTACTGATGGTGCCGTCACAATCTGGTTAGATGTCAGTGAGCCGGCCAGACCATCTGGTTACACCCAGGTGCCTCATTCTCCCCAGGCCATAATAATCTTCTTTACTGATTCTGTTGCTTGTTCCCAAAGGGCCTTGACCACATTTGCCTTGTCGTGTATCAGTTCACTACGCAGTGGTGCAGATCCAGCCAATCTGTTTGCATGTTCATTACCCACCAGGCCGGCATAGCCTAGAGAAAAGATCCAAAGTATGCTTACTACCCGTGACCTTTTTAGTGAAGCTTGCCACTCTGCTCGAAGCATCCCTGTCTTTAACTTTCTCAGCATGCTTTCAAAGTATGTTACAATTAAGACATGTATATGCATCTTGTTCTCCGGAGAGCTGCAGTTACCGTCTCCACCTCCATTCTCATGCTAGATGTTGTGGTAACTACACTAGTGTTAAACACATCAACACATTGTGTTGGCAGAACAATCATTTGCACACATTTGCCCGATTGCCAATTTTTATGTTGATTAATGCGTTCTTTAGTTGGCATGTTTATTTACTGCGGCTAGGTGGCATAAATATGTTCAGATATATGAGCTCATTTAGGAATCAATAAAACAATGATCGTGTGAATATCCGCACGAACAGCGGTAGAATAGTACGTGTGAACAGCATATTTAATCTTGTGAATAGCATACTACATTGTGTGGATTGGTCGGTAAAACAATTTAACGGATAGACCTACACACACTTGGTGTCGCCAACTGGAAACAGAAGTTCAGTCACAGAGATGAACTGAGGAGGGCGATATCTGCAGCAGAGAACCCCAAGGGCTCGGAATGTTGAAGTGCTGATTAGTAGCATCAGCATAGAGATGTAGAGCAAGAGTTAGACCAAGAACAAGATGGGACGATAACGCCAGAGGAGCTCTACAGCACCACCATGAGTCTATGGTCGAAGCAGCCAGAAGAGCACACAGCAGGACCTTATTTCTCTCAAGATACACAAAGCGGTTTTTAAAAAAAAAAGATGTATAGAAGAAAAAGCAACAGCACAGCAACAGATACAGTTGTGGTGGTGGTGGTAGAGATGGTGCTTGCGGTGGTAGTAGTAGAGTGGTGCTTGTGGTGGTAGTAGCAGTGGTGCTTGTGGTGGTAGTAGCGGTGGTGCTTGTGGTAGTAGTAGTAGCAGTGGTGCTTGTGGTGGGGGTAGTAGCAGTGGTGCTTGTGGTGGTAGTAGCGGTGGTGCTTGTGGTTGTAGTAGCGGTGGTGCTTGTGGTGGTGGTAGTATCGGTGGTGCTTGTAGTGGTGGTAGTAGCAATGATGCTTGTGGTGGTAGTAGCTGTGGTGCTTGTGGTGGTGGTAGTAGCAGTGGTGCTTGTGGTAGTAGTAGCAGTGGTGCTTGTGGTGGTAATGGTAGTAGCAGTGGTGCTTGTGGTGATAGTAGCGGTGGTACTTGTGGTGGTAGTAGCGGTGGTGCTTATGGTGGTAGTAGTAGCGGTGCTTGTGGTGGTAGTAGCGGTGGTGCTTGTGGTGGTAGTAGCGGTGGGGGTGGTAGTAGCGGTGCGGCTTGTGGTGGTAGTAGCAGTGGTGCTGGTAGTAGCAGTGCGGCTTGTGGTGGTGGTAGTAGCGGTGGTGCTTGTGGTGGTAGTAGCGGTGGTGGTGGTAGTAGCGGTGCGGCTTGTGGTGGTAGTAGCGGTGGTGATGGTGGTGGTGGTAGCGGTGGTGGTGGTAGTAGCGGTGGTGCTTGTGGTGGTAGTAGCGGTGGTGGTGGTATTAGCGGTGCGGCTTGTGGTGGTAGTAGCGGTGGTGGTGGTAGTAGCGGTGGTGGTGGTAGTAGCGGGGGTGCTTGTGGTGGGGGTAGTAGCAGTGGTGCTTGTGGTGGTAGTAGCGGTGGTGCTTGTGGTTGTAGTAGCGGTGGTGCTTGTGGTGGTGGTAGTATCGGTGGTGCTTGTAGTGGTGGTAGTAGCTGTGGTGCTTGTGGTAGTAGTAGCAGTGGTGCTTGTGGTGGTAATGGTAGTAGCAGTGGTGCTTGTGGTGGTATTAGCGGTGGTACTTGTGGTGGTAGTAGCGGTGGTGCTTATGGTGGTAGTAGTAGCGGTGCTTGTGGTGGTAGTAGCGGTGGTGCTTGTGGTGGTAGTAGCGGTGGGGGTGGTATTAGCGGTGCGGCTTGTGGTGGTAGTAGCGGTGGTGCTGGTAGTAGCAGTGCGGCTTGTGGTGGTGGTAGTAGCGGTGGTGCTTGTGGTGGTAGTAGCGGTGGTGGTGGTAGTAGCGGTGCGGCTTGTGGTGGTAGTAGCGGTGGTGATGGTGGTGGTGGTAGCGGTGGTGGTGGTAGTAGCGGTGGTGCTTGTGGTGGTAGTAGCGGTGGTGGTGGTATTAGCGGTGCGGCTTGTGGTGGTAGTAGCGGTGGTGGTGGTAGTAGCGGGGGTGCTTGTGGTGGTGGTGGTTATTATTATTATTAGTAGTAGTAGTAGTGTCGGCTCTCTGGCT